CGTACAGTCTTCCTGTATAAGGCTCTTACAATTATTGAGCAAGGACTCTATGCTAATAGTGCAACCACCAAACAGCAAAGATGAGCGTTCTTACACGAGAAAAGGCCTTGGTGATTTCTGGGGCTCTTGGTAAAAGTCTATCCTCATCTTATAAATCAAAATGTGGGAGCTTTCATTCCATATACAACAGTTAAACTTTAGCTCTAACATTTTAACTTACTCATAAATTAAATGTAATTTTCTTATTACTGAACATATTGCTTAGGTATGTAATAGCCATAATATTTTAATTTTTTAAAACTATGTTTTTAATATTTTTATATTTTTAATATTTTAAAACTATGTTTCAATACTTGACTTCCTTTATATTACTATACATCTTATCTTATACAATTAAAAATAGTGTGAGAGTTACACGCTTCCTAAGTTCCCAAAGGGTTCACAGCACACACACATACACCAAAAATTCCAGAAAATCATACAAAATATGAAAAATCTTCAAAGCCACTGGGGAAATAAAAACTTTTAATAGGTCTCAGTACAACCATAAAGGAAAAAACCTTGATAAATTCAACACACTGAAATTATGATTCTCTGTTCATCAAACCAAAAAATAAATATTAAAAAAAAATAAACTCACTGCCAGAGGCTTCTGAAGTTAACTGTGTACAGGAGTAGAAAGCCCAGTCTTTCTCCTGCAGAGCTGCCGATGGTTTCAAACTGCCGACCATCTGAATGGCAGCCCAATGCATAACCACAACACCACCGGGGCTCTTGGTTTTTCATCAAAAGATACTGTTAAGAAACTGAAAAAACCAGCGGTGGAGTGGGAGAAGATTTCTGCCACGCATACCATTGACAAAGAGTTCATACTCAGAAGAAAACAAACGACCAAGAACATGTTTAAAACTGGGTGAGAGGCTTAACCTGTTATTTTTCTGAAAGCAGTCATTCAAATATCCAGTGGATATATGAAAACGTATCACTCTCGTAATAATCTGGGAAATACACTTTAAAACTACCAAAAAAAATTTTTTTAACCAAAATTCCCCTTCCACCAAATGTTTAGGGATTAAGAAGTCTGACTATATCTACGCTGGCAGGAAGCAAAGGGCTATTCACGCATGACTAGGAAGGGGGTAGGACCACGCTGGGAAGCTAATTGGTATTTTCTACTAAGCTTAAGATCTGTATAACCTATGACTTGGCTATTCTATTCCTCCATGCATATCCATAAGAAATCCATACAGCATGTGTCCAATAAATGTGTCTAAGAAGGTTCACATTAGTGAATTCATGTCAGAAATGGCATGGCAGGTCAGTGAGAGAAGATTAAATGTTCAGTATATGAACAAATATCCACTTGTATTTGGATGAAATTATATCTTTACAAAAGACAAAAATTTAAACTCTTAGAAGAAAATAGGATATTCTTATGACATCTGAATAGGGAAGAATATTTGTTAAGCAAGACAAAAAACACACAATCCCTAAAGAAAAGATTGATAAATTCAAACTACTATTAACACATTATGAATCATTTAAAAGTGTTTATTCTTAAAAAATATAAATGTGTGCAGGTGAATGATGTCAGTGCTATCTGTGAAAATAATCCATAATTCAACTGGGTAGTGGAGATGAAACAAGGCCATTGTACATTAATTTTAAAGCTGGGTGGTAGTACAAAGGAATTCATTATACTATTCTGAGTCGAAATCAACTCAATGGCAGTGCGGTTTTGCTTTTGTTTAAGAATGAAATGAAAAGAATAACGGATCAAAGAGAAGTATAAAAGACAAGCCATAACTAAAAAAGCTATGTGCAACATACATAACTTATAAGAGATTATGGTCAGAATATATTAAAAACTCACTCACAAGGGAAAAAAAGCAGCATCCATAAATATGGAGAAAAGCACTCATCTTACAATAGTAATAATCAGGAAAATACAAATGAAGATCACACCGGTAATTATTTTATAGCCAACCAATTGGCAAAAATGTAACTTTGACCACTTCATTATGAGAACATGATGTAGCCAAATATGCTGTTGTTAGGTGCCCTCAAATCGGTTCCGAGTCATAAGGACTCTATTAATAAGAGAGTGAGACACTCCCTGGCTCTATTCCAGCCTCAGAATTATGTGTGAACCCTCTGTTGCAGCCACTGTGTCCGTCCATCATTAAGGGTCTTCCTTTTAATACGATCATAAACTCATACATGAGAGTGCAAGTTGAGACCAGTACTTTAGAAAACAATTTAGAAGTGATTGCCTAAGTTGAAAATACACAATTTACTCTTAACTACATATCCAAACAAACCAGGAACACAAAGAAAGATTTATGAGGATCTATATAATTTGTTACATCGTTTATAAGAGAAAAAAACATCTCTTTCAAAAAATCCATGACCATCATCAAAAGAATAGAGGAGTACATTGGAAAATATCACAGAATGGAACAGCATCCACCACTGGACATGAATGACCAATGGCACCAACATGATGACTCTCAGAAATGTAAGCCTGACGCAAAAAAATGGGAGCCACAGAAGAACAAAAGTGCCTGGTATTGTTGTCTTAAGTTCAGAATTAAGCGTAGACATTAAATGACTGGGATCTATGGATGGTAAGGTGTTTTAAAGAAGCAATGGAATAGCAAACAACCTCCAGATTCTGGGTGCCCAGGTGGAAGGGACAGGAGACTACACAAGCACAACGGTGGGAGACGCATTAGCTTCAGGTTCTTTGTCTTACACTCGGGTCCACGTGTGTCTCCTGACTTATTGTGCTGAAGTTGTCAAGGACTTCATTTGACTTGGAACTGCAATCAACATTCACAGAAGGGCAGTCAAAGAAATCCAAAGACATGCTGTACTGCATAAGTCTGTTGGCGAAGACCCCTTTAAAGTGTTAAAAAATAGACTTCCCCTTAAGGACTAAACGTACCAAGTTACTGAAGGAAGAAAGCCCTGGAGATCTACTACAAAATTACCGCCAAGAAAAACTTACCAACAGTTCTACTGTGGACTCTCTACCATGAGCCAGAATCGACTCAATGACAGTAAGTTTGGTTTGGGGCTTTCTCGTAAAAGAAAACCCCAAGATGATACCTCCATTTCAGACATCCAGGACAACTAACCCAGACAGGTGCAGACGGAACTCGAGTTGCCAGGATACCTCCTGCGTGGGGCTGTGCTGAGAAGATTCAAGCTCTGTCAGAGGTTGGGAGGTGAATTAGTGAAGTATATGGAAACCTAAGCAGAGTAATAGATCCAAAGTAACTGTTAACTGCAAAATCTACTTAAGTGATCATAGGAACATGATTAATGAATACTGATATAACCCAAAATTGTATTACATATATCAAGAAGGAACCCCAGTGGTGTCGTGGTTACGTGTTCAACGTTAACTGTACTGAGAGCATATGCTATTGGGCTGCAAAGTCAGCAGTTGAAACCCCAAGTTGCTCCGAAGGAGAAAGATGGGCTTTCTACTCCTGCAAGGAGTTACAGTCTTAGACGCTGGCATGGGTAGTTTTACCCACCCGATAGGGGCGCTTTGAGCCATCCCCAATTCAATGGCAGCGAGTTTGGTTTTTCGGTTTTTTATATCAAGAAGCTAAGGAAGGAGGATAGTGAATAGGTGTAGGCATGCACTAAAGGCGGAGACAGGGTTGAGAATGGCAGCGAGAGAAGTCTCAGGAGGAAACCAGTGGTACAGCAAACCGGGGGTAGAAAGGGTCAACAAATAGGTATGTGGGTACATTTTTCAGAAACCTGGAGGAAAATACTAAGCTCTGCAACTTAACAAATAACTGCTCCCAGGACATAAGAATCAAGAATAGAAAAGGGTGAAGTAGAGGACTGCTTCTTTTCATTGTGAATCTAATGATATAATTTTACTTTTTTAGATTAAGCACATATGCTATTTGTAAACATAAAAAAATTAAACCCAAATGAATGAAGGTCAAATAACGATAAGAATGATAGTATTCTTCATTTACCAACTGCCTAATGCCTGTGGAGGACATACCAGTTCTTCACAGATACTATCCTTATTCCTCAGACCAGCTCTGCAGGCAGGAATTTTCTTAGTTACACATTCGAGAAAACAAAGAATGAGTAATGGGCATTTTTCATTG